ACAAATAATATCTGATTTAACAGTAATATTCACCTAAGACTGGTACATGTTGAGAGAAACTATTTGAGCTTTTATCATGGATTTTAATGCATGTACTCAAGTTATTTCAGAACATATTTGAATACCACCTAAAATTCAGTCATATTCTGAGGGTGCCCAATTTTTCTTAAAAATTATTCCAACTCAAAAGTAAGGAAAGAGACACTAATACGTGTATATATTGGTACTAAATATTATATAAAGGATAAAAATCAAATCTTTACAACAAAGTCAGAACTTCCACTGAAACTATTTGGCAAATATTATTTTTCTAAGTAGTTACCATTTCTGTTTGGAGAACATCAATTCCATGTGCTGTGGAAACTTCGTGTTCATTTCTTTTCATTTGCTGATTGCTATGGATTATCTCCTGAAAATAAACAAGCAGCTAATCAACCTTAAGAAAAGTCTGAACATTTTACCTATTTTATTAATGCCTTAAGAAAAATCTGGGGGATTCCAAGATGGCGGCTAGAGGTAGGAAGCAGAAAGCGAGCCTCCTATAGTGAAATCTTGGAGAGATGCTGGAGACACACTTTCAGCTAATACCGAGAAAAGGCATACTTTGACTCTCACATATCCAGCTGGTGCAGAGAATTCCACTTCAGTTAATACGGAGCACCAAGATGAGGGCTGGGCGCAGTGGGCCGCGCCCATTACGGCTTGGGAAGAGCGGACCAGGTGAGCTTCGCGGTACCGCGTGCCACAGCAGCCTGGGAGAGCAGCATAGCCACTGGCCAGACTGACCTCCACCCGGGAAAAAAGAGAAACTGAGTACTAAGCAATAAGAAGTTTAAGACCGCTGGAAAGAGGGTGGGGTGCCCTGAGCGCTGCAGATTTGGGGGAAGGGATCCTTCCGCGGGACTGTAATAAACGAGCGGGCAGGCGGAGAGGTCTCTGGTGGGAGCGGGGCGGGCCCAGCAACGCAGGAGCGGGGACCTTGGTGAGAGGAGGGAAAGACCACTTTCCAGTGACTGTAAATAAACAGCAGGCCTGACAAACGGGGGCATGTCACCTTTTCAGTGCTTTGAGGAAAGGGGAAGCCTGTACAAGGCCTGAACGGAGAAATCTGAGCAAACAAGCCTGTGGGACCAGGTGAGTGTAGCTCACCCAGAGTTGCAATCAATAACGCGCAGCTTACAGGTGAGAGAAGCAGGCAGGCAAACCACAGTTGAGATTACACTTCAGAACTGCCTCCGACCAACTTTTTTCTCTTTTCTCCCTACTTTGATGAGAGAACAACCGAATTACACTGCAAGCGAAAAAATTACTGAAACTATATTGCATTTGAACTGGGGACACTGGTGGGGCTTTTTTTTTTTTTTTTTCCCTGTGTGTGTGGTGAGTGTAGTTTGTTACTCTTTATGCATCCCCTTTGGATGAACGTAACTACAGAACACATGAGCACAACTCCAGGCTGGGAATTGAGATGACTCCAATATTAAGACCTGAAATTGGCATGCATATAAATTGGAAGTTTTTTGGTTTTTTTTTTTTTTTTTTTAATTTTCTATTTTCCATTTTTATTTTAATTCATTTTTATAATGATATACTTTCATATACTTATTTTTTTTATTTTATCCTTGATTTTCAATCCTCTCTCTGTCTCTCTATTGTCTTTCAGCTTACTGTCGATTAGTAACTAACACTCCGTTTATACCTTTGAAACTCTCTTGGCTGATACCTTGTTTCTGCTTTTCTCCCGTCTGTATATTTGTTTTCCCCTTTTCTTTAACTTTTTGCTTTCCATCTCAGCTCACTCTTCCATTCTAATATTACATTGTTATTATTACAAGCTAGAAAATACTTAATTGACACAGTACAGGGAAGTAACAACACCAAGGACAATGAGGAAGACAGAAAAAAACAGGGAAACCAGTTTCCCCACAGCAAAAAATTAAGTACAGGAACCAGAGGGGAATGAAGAGAACGAACTCAGATCCAGACTCCACCAAAATGAAGATAAACTATGCCAAAGGACCCAATGAAGCCACAAAATAATTTAAAAGAAGACATACTAAAGTACTCAATGAGATTTATAGAGATGATACTGGATAGGGTAACCAAAATGTACAGGAGACACTCAAGACAATTCCAAGACAATAAAAATAGAGAATTGAAAAGCAAAAGAAGAAATAAAGGAAACCATAGAAGCAACTGTATAAACACCAAAGTGAAAGAGAGAAACACAATGAATAAATGGATAAATGAACTCAGGACAAAATAGACAACAATAAAGAAGAAAACAGCCAGGATATGGAAAACCTCAGAAAAAAAGAACGAAACAGAACTGCAAACAAAAGGAAGCCAATCCAGCAGAATAGAAAACAGAAGACAGAATCTCAGAACTTGAAGATGAAATGGTAATTAAAGGAAAAACGAAGAACTATTAATTAAACAACTCAAGACTGTGAAAAGAAAATGCAAGAACTCACTGACTCCATCAAAAGACCAAACTTGAGAATCATGGGCATCGAAGAAGGAGAAGAGGTGCAAGCAAAGGGAATGCGTAATATATTCAACAAAATAATAACGGAAAATTTCCCAAATCTAGAGAAAGATTTCCCATACAAATGAAGAGGCTCCAGGACACCAAACAGACCAGATCAAATAGAACTACTCCAGACATATCATCATAATAAACAACAAGTTCAGGAAACTAAGGAAGAAATATTGAAGGCTGTAAGAGAGAAAAAAATAGACATACAAGGTAAACCCATCAAATAACCAGACTTCTCAACTGAAACATTAAAGCAGAAGAGCGTGGGGTGAGATCTTCCGGCACTGAATGAAAATAACTTTCACCCCAGGATTACTCTACCGCAAAGCTATCATTCAAATAGGATGGAGCAATAAAAAGTCTTCCATGATAAGCAGAAAACTAAAAACTATTGACACAAAGCCACCATTACAAAGATTCTGCAGAGGACCTGCACACAGAAAGTGACACCCAACTTACCATGAAAAGGCAGGCAGCACCAAACCACAGATAAGAAAAAGCAAGACAGTAGAGAGTAACATAAGTTAGGTACACACAATCAAACCTTCAAACAACTAAGACTACTAAATGGCAGGAATCACCACATACCTATCAGTACTAACGCTTAATGTTTGGACTTAATTCACCCATCAAAAGACACCGTTTGACAAAACGGATTAAAAAGAAGATCCAACTTTGTTGCTTACAGGAGACTCATCTCACAGACAGAAATAGCATATCTTTAGGATGAAAGGCTGGAAGAAGATTTACCAAGCCAATGGCCCCAAAACAAGCAGGAGTAGCAATACTTATCTCTGACAAAGTAGACTTCAAACCTACATTGATCAAACGAGATAAAGAAGGACATTCATACTAATAAAGGGGAAATAGACCAAAAAGGAAATAATAATCATCAATCTGTATCACCCAATGTCAGCACCCAATTTCATCAAACATACCCTGAAAGACCTAAAAGCATATATAACGCCAACACAGTGGTTGTGGGAGACTTTAACACTCCATTATCATCAATAGATAGGTCATCCAAACAAAACTCAATAAAGAAATCCAAGATCTAAAATATGCATAGATCAGTGGACCTAGTAGATGTTACAGAACATTTCATCCAACTCTACACAATATACATTCTTCTCAGCAGCCCATGGAACCTTATTCATAATAGATCATATCTAGGGCACAAAGCAAGCCTCAGCAAATATAAGAAATAGAAATAATACCATGCATACTATCTGACACAATGCAGTAAAAGTAGAACTCAACAACAAAAGTAAAGACAAAAAACATGCAAACAGCTGGAAACTAATAATCATTACTTATGAAGAATGATCATCGATGCAATAAAAGAGGAAATTAAAAAGTTCCTAGAAGTCAATGAAATGAAAACACAACCTACCGGAACTATGGGACACAGCTTAAGGCAGTCTGAGAGGAAAGTTTATAGCCTGAGTGCATATATTAAAAAGATTGAAAGATCCCAAATCAATGACCTAATGTACATCTCAAACTCCTAGAAAAACAAGAACAAGCAAATCCCAAACAAATAGAAGGAAGAAATAATAAAATAAGAGCTGAAATCAACAAATAGAAACCAAAAAAACCAACAAGAATTAATGAAACAAAAAGCTGGTTCTTTGAAAAATAAACAAGATCGATAGACCCCTGGCAAACCTGATAAAATGAGGAGAGAAAAAACCCAAATTAGTAGAATTAGGAATGCAAAGGGGAGATAAAACAAACCATGGAAGTCCAGGAAATCATCAGAGACTACTTTGAGAAATATATTCAAATAAATTTTGAAAATGTTAAAGAATGGACAGATTTCTAGATACATATGATCATCCAAAACTGAACCAAGAGGAAATTAATCACCTGAATAGATATAACACAAATGAAATTGAAGCAGCAATCAGAGTCTCCCCAAAAAGAAAAGTCCAGGACCTATGGATTCTCTCTGAATTCTATCAGACCTTAAAGAAGAACTGATACCAACCCTCCTTAAACTGTTCCTGAAATAGAAAGGGAAGGAAAACTGCCAAACACATTTTATGAAGCCAGTATTACACTTTATCCCAAAACCAGGCAAAGACACCTCCAAAAGGAGAACTATAGGCCAATCTCCTTAATGAACATTGATGCAAAAATCCTCAACAAATAATGGCAAACCGAATTCAGCAAACATCAAAAGATTATTCACCATGACCAAGTAGGCTTCATCCCAGGGATGCAGGGGTGGTTCAACATACGAAAATCAATAACGTAATAAACCACATTACAGAAGCAAAGACAAAACACTTGATCATCTCAATGATGCAGAAAAAGTCTTTGATAAGATCCAACATCATTTATGATAAAAGCTCTAAGAAAACTAGGAATAGAAGGAAAGTTCCTCAACATTATAAAAGCTATATGACAAACCTAAGCGCATTATACTTAATGGAGAAAATTAAACCATTCCCTCTAAAATCAGGAACCAGACAGGATGCCACTATCTCCACTCCTATTACATAGTACTGGAATTCCTAGCCAGAGCAATTAGGCAAGAAGAAGGAATAAAAGGAATCAAATAGGTAAAGAAACTGTCAAAATATCCCTATTTGCAGACGACATGATCTATACCTTAAAGACCAAAAAACTCTACTCAGAAGCTTCTAGACATCATCAATAGCTATAGCAAGGTAGCAGGATATAAAATCAACATAGAAAAATCATTAGCATTCTATAACACTAACAATGAGCAAACGGAAAAAGAATGTTGAAAACAATTCATTTACAATAGCTCAAAAAAATCAAATACCTAGGTAAACCTAACAAAAGAATGTGAAAGACTCTAAAGGAAAACTATGCACTTCTGAAGAAGAGATTGAGGAAGA